CCCTGCTACACAGTCAATAGAGCCGCAGTACGTTATTCTGAGAGTCCCAGGTTTGAGTCTGGGTCAGGCTGCACATTAATATCCCCCTGTTACACAGTCAGTAGAGCCGCAATACGGTATTCCAAGGGCCCCATGTTCGAGTCTCGGCCAGGCTGTCCCAGGTTCAAACTTCGGCCAGGCTGCACATTAATCTCCCCCTGTTACACAGTCAGTAGAGCCGCAGTACGTTATTCTGAGGGTCCCTGGTTTGAGTCTCGGTCAGACTGCACATTAATCCCCCCCCCCCCCTGTTACAATTATTGACTTTTCTTGATAGAAAATACAGAGGAGTTTCAATCATTACTCATGGAGAAAAAAAATTAGTGAGTACAGTATGTTTGTTTGGATTTTTACGGCACGTCAACACATAACTGGCCATATCGTGCCGAATGCTATAATAGGCTTAAAATGTTATGTAAAACTTTGTAAATGACAATAGAAATAAGCCAATTAGAGAGTAAAGTATGTAAAAGGGATCAGTTGGGAGGGATCTGTTTTTTAGGGAAACCTGATTATTCCTACAATGCAGAATTACGGTCTGAATGCAAGTGTTAGTGTACATCATATCTCTAATTAGTGTTGTACAACTAAATCCTATACCTCTGTTGATGCCTTTTACTCTCCTAGACGTCAGTTAACACGTTGATATAACACTTTGGTTAAAGATATGGGAAGTCCTTATTATAAGACCTATACGTATAACCCATTATATCCCATTAAACTGATATTTTACACTTTTTCGTTAAGTTTTAAACAGATGACTGCAAGAACGTGTGGCTAACAAAATCAGACATCAGTTTAGATCTGATGCATTTAAACGATTTGATTATAAATATTTGAAAGTAATTGAATATCGATGAAAGATAAATGCAATATGAACATGCTAACACTAACTGAAATTAAATTTGTCACCTAACATAGGAGACATGTTCGTTTAAAGTGACATTATGCTCATCATTAGCTCGACTATTCGATAAGAATAAGTAGAGCTATTGTAGTCACCCGAGCGTCGGCGTCGGCGTAACCATTTATGTTAAAGTTTGTGTAATAGTTTAAATATTTTCAAAGTCCATTGACATATGGCTTTGAAACTTTGCATACTTGTTCACCATCATAACCCCAACCTGTAGACAGGGGGAGGTAACTTTATCAAGCATTTTGACAGAATTATGCCCCTTTTTCGACTAAGAATTTACGTTAAAGTTTTTGTAATACCTCAAATATTTTCAAAGTCCATTGACATATGGCTTTGAAACTTTGCACACTTGTTCACCATCATTACCCCAACCTGTAGACAGGAGGAGGTAACTCTATCAAGCATTTTGACAGAATTATGCCCCTTTTTCGACTTTGAATTTACGTTAAAGTTTTTGTAATACCTGAAATATTTTCATAGTCCATTGACATATGGCTTTGAAACTTTGCATACTTGTTCACCATCATTACCCCAACCTGTAGACAGGAGGAGGTAACTCTATCAAGCATTTTGACAGAATTATGCCCCTTTTTTCGACTAAGAATTTACGTTAAAGTTTTTGTAATACCTCAAATATTTTCAAAGTCCATTGACATATGGCTTTGAAACTTTGCACACTTATTCACCATCATGACCCCTACATGTAGACAGGAGGAGGTAACTCTATCAAGCATTTTGACAGAATTATGCCCCTTTTTCGACTTAGAATTTACGTTAAAGTTTTTGTACTACCTCAAATATTTTCAAAATTCATTGACATAGGCTTTGAAACATGTTGAAATTTATACTCTTCTTTGAGAGCATAATAGGACTCTCTCCAAGGCATATAACTGAAATATGGATTAAAAGAAAAATTTTGCCTTTTTTCTTTACTGAGAAAATTTACCTTTTAATCAAGGCGTTTTTTACTATCAAGCACTAAGAATAGTCGAGCGTTGATGTCTACCGACAGCTTTTGTTTTGTGTGTGTTCAAGTTTAGTTGAATTAGTAATATTTTCATGAAATTTACTTTTTATATTGGTGATGATTGACTGATACAAAAGTGTTTAGAAAATATAAAAAACAATACGTAAATTATAAAAAAGACTGCTCCATCCTTTTAAAATCAAAGCATTATCGATACATCTGAACAATACATATAGAAATGTCTGTCCATCGCGTGGATTATTGATTGCATGGTTAAATATAAAATTGAACACAATCATTGCTAAACTACAGTTATTTTTACTTTTACTTGTGGACTCACTGTTGACACATGGACGTGCATAATGTCACTTTAAATGTAACCACTTTGGCAGCAATGACCATGCGATATTCACCAAGGATATGCAAATGCGAATACGATTACCGTCGATTAGTAAAATTAAATTTAAAGTGATTTTTTCAAGTATTACTTTGATTAATGATACTCGTATAACTTGTTCTATCATTGCTTAATAAAAATATTCTTTTACTTTAAAAATACTAAAAACAAAACATGTAAACATATTTGTACAGGGCGTAAAATGTATAATGATCACATTGGGGGGGGGCAGGGGGGGGGGGGATTTCGTCTAACGGAGATGCAAAAAATTGAAACTGCATCAACATGTTTAGCTTTCCGGTGATTTTGAAACTGTAAGTTTGGTGATTAAATTAATATATTATTTTTCCTTGCATTGTACTATTTTGACCAGAAATTCATTACTTTTATAAATTTGATTTATGCTAAGTCTTATTAATACAATCAATTTAAATGTTTGAAAAAAAAAGCCATTTTAAAATAAAACAGAAATAATTGGCCATTTTTTTAAATTCTTGCTTAAAGTTGTCCATGTAATATAATTAAAAGTTTGATGATTATTTGTACTTGATCTAAAACATGACTTCGAGATAATCATAAATTCATACAAGAATAATTTAAGTCTAAATTGGATTTTACTGAATTATGGCCCCCTTGTGAACTTACTTACTAACGGCATTTGCTTAACTATTAAAATATGTCTTCTTGACCATAACTAGAGGATACTATCCAAGGACCATAAAATCTGACTTAGGTTTTTGACTGATAAATATGTGAACTTGGAAAAATTCTTGGTTAACAAGGCTTAAGCATTCAGAACAACTGGTGGCATTAATTTGAAATACATGATCATAATTGGAAGTCACTCTTTGAGTCCCATGAATCTGATATAAATTTGACTTTGTTAACTTAAAAAATTCTTAGTTAACTAAAGATCTGGCAAACAACATGCATCTTCAGAACTACATGTTCATCAGTTTTGGGAAAAAATCTAGAGGTATTTCACGCGAAACCCATGTTTTGGGATCATAATTTAAGTCATTTTCCAATGCCCATTTACTCTGGCATAGAATTTTACTGAATCATGAACCTTTGTGAACTTCTTGGGTGCAACATAAATTTCAAAAAAAGCATGTCTTCCTGGCAACATTTATTTTCTAAAGCTTTAAACCCTGACACGGATTCTGACTGATTTTTTGCCCTTATTATCATTCAAGCAATCCAGTATTCTTATTTGTCGCATCCAGTACTGTCAGTACTTTGATTCTACATGTGTCAAATATCTTTCACAAAGAAAAATAACTCTCGATGATTTAAGTATATATAATTACTTCCCCGGTTCGAAATTCAGTCTACGTATTTACGAAAGGCTATGGTGGCTGATTTGGTGCGTTGTCGATAGCGACAACACAACCTATATCGTTACCGCCATTTCGTCTTTGTCGGGCCAGCGAAACGCGATAGGTCGTCTTGTCTCCGTCGCTAGCGAAGCACGCCCAAACGGCCGGCATTGTCGTGCGGCGCCGTTGTTACGAGTCACCTTGTTGATTTGGCTTATATAATATACAAATTAGCCAATGCCTTCATTGAGCCCAGCGAGGAAATGTGACATCGCGACAACACGCCGACCGACAACGCGTCGTTCGGCGTTGCTTCGTTTGCAACAAAAGACACAGGCGACAACGGCGCCGTTGGGGCTTTTGTCGTGCAGTCGCTAGCGACAACATGATGCACTAAAGTGTTCCATAAAGCAACCATAAAAGGCCGGCGGGGACATTCAATTAACTTCACGAATTAAATATTTCGTCTACGTGACTCCACGATTTCAACATAAGGAATTCACGAATTCAATATTTCAACTTTTTGAATTCACGATTTCAGCTTCATAAATTCAGGATTTCAACTTCAGAAATTCAACTTAATGATTTTAAGTTTTGATCTTCAAGATTTCAGCTTCGTGAATTCACGATTTCAATTCCACGCAGTTCACATTTACAAACTTCACGAATTCACGATTAGACATCATAAAATCATGTTTTAAATTTAACATCATTCAACCAATCTGATTAATAATACAAACTTACAATAACATCGAAACTGTCTATTAGCCTATAATAGATATATGTCAACCCACTTGGATTAAATGATAATGCACCTTATTTTATATGTCACTTTTTGACCATCTTTTAATGGGCGTTAAATATACAATGTAATAGACTGGTATTGAAGCCTTGTTTGAAATATTCAAGGTGTATGCTCGATTTTATCAAAATATTTAAAAACTCTTTAGTGTGTGCGTGGTTATCATTATATGTGCTGTCATGAAGAAAAAATTAATACTGCTATTTTATATAAAAGAACACATATTAGAAAATGGCATAATTTTGATTTTATTTTTAATCTACCAGCTTTCCATTTGGCTTAATTTATAACAATATAACAATTTTAGGTTGCCTCCCTGTAATTTGAATACTTCTACAAACAGAGCTGATACAAGAATAGTCTAAACACGGGGCACACACCTTTAAAATCAATGATGAATGATCATTCGCTTTAAAAGATGGTAAAAGAAGATAAACATGTTTAAGGTTGTAAAATTATGTAGTTCTTTGTGAATTGACATGATAAATGGTTTACCCTTAGGTGTGTAGATTGAATTTTTGGAGTTTTAATGGATTGTTAAATAAAATTGTAAACATTTCAGGATTGTGAAATATGACATTTACTAGTAACTTGTTTGTCGTGAGATGGATTTTAAGAATGTAGGAATTTTTGTTTTATACTTCCCGCTTTGTGTTAAGGTACGCGAGATTTTATGATTACATGTATTTAAATGAGGTAAGCGTTTACTGTTATAATAATAATGTGTAAATATAGCGGATTTTATTGTTTACTAATATATCTCTAAATATGCCCGTAGTAATAATTCATGATTAGATAGGATACATGTTTTTACTCTTAATTTTGTAACACTAGCATTCTGTAAATTTGCCCATAGTAATCGGAATTTATAAAATTTTAAAAATTTATCCAGAAAAATTTTTTTAATTATTTATAAGAATAGTTGTCAATTCAAAAACATACGGTGTTTTGCGGGGGAGATCAATAAAATGGGGTTTTGCCAAACCCAAAATTTACATTTTTTATAATTTTAACAGTTACTTCGATAGAGGCCAATTCAATTGTATTGCAGTGCATTCAACTATTTTTTTCTAAACGTGTGTCATTCACTGTTCATAGGTTTTTTGTATTTATGTTCCTTTTTGGGCCAACGCCCTTTTTCTCTTTAAAAAAAGAAAAACCCCCGAAACAAGTCCCGTACGATTGGTGACAGCCCCGACAGTAGTGGGGAAGGGGTTTACAGTAAAAATGGTTACAGTTTCGACACTGGGGTGGTGAGAAACCCACAAATACGATTCTGAAGCGCGACAGTATGAATTTCCGGGGACCCAAAACGAAAAGTGACCCCGTACGATGGGTACAGATGACCCCTAAATCTTGGGACAAACGGGGTGGGAAAGATTGACTGCAACCTCGTACTGCGTTTCTTCGCCATCACTGTCGGATTGTCCCCCTTTTCGTAAATTTTTGCCCCTTTTTCCATTCCCTTTACTTTTTAAATGGCAATTTTACTGTTTGTACTTCGCGCTTTTCGTTTTCCGAGAAACGCGCTGGCCCGAACGGAACACCGTAGTTTTGAACTTGCAGGACTTGACGCCAAACTCGTATGGCAAATATTGCCAAACAAATGATGTTCCCTTGGTTGAATTGAATACCTTCATATACCTTCATATACCTTCATATAAAGTGGCTGTTTGACCTTCAACCATATGTTGTCATCTAATTAAATATGTTTGATGTTGAGATAAACATTAACAATATGTTTATTTCTATCCATGCATTACAGATCGTCATCTGTCACCGTTAATGTGTATAAATGTAACGACAACTGTTAAAGGCACTCCACTGATGTTTTTTGATGGACTGAAAATTTGTATCCAGTTGGTGTAAGTCTGGATGTGCATATTGATCATCACCTCACTCCGATGTTTTCCCCAGAATAATAAATTTTATTGTGAAAAATGACCCAAAAATGAAAAACGTTGCAACGAATATATTATTATTGGTTTTTTTTCAAGATCAAAGATCTCTTTCTATTCTAAAACTTTACAAGCCGTACAAAGGTGGGATTGTTTGAAGAGGGAAAAAAACGAGAAAAAAAACAACACAACAACACACAAACACAAAAATAATGTACTCCGTTCTATTCCGCGGAAAAGAATCTAGCCAAGTCAAGTCAAGTAAAAAAAAACGTTTATTTCTCTCATTCCATGTACAAACAGGACACAATGAGGTGACAAACATGAATAACTGTAAAATGAGACTCAAATAGCAGTAAATTATCATAAGGTTATATTGACGGAAAACAATAAAAGTAAATAATTTAACTATGGTGGCTGATTTGGCACGCTTTTATGCGTCTAGTTGGTGCTAGCGACAACACACCAAACGGCACGTTGTCGCGTTTTCTCATTTGAAAAAGAGGCCATTTTAGTCCCTTACATACAAAGAATGTAAATGAAAATGACATAAATATTTCAAAATCGGTTAAATTTAATAAAGTTTTAGTCCTTACCACGCTTAATAATGTAAGTCCATCTTTCTCTCTTTGCCAAGATTCATTTATTTAGGGAAAATTTTAAAAATAAGATCAGATTTGTAAAAATGCACTGATTTTATGGGTACGAGTATTTCCAAGTTCCCGCAAGCAACCTAAGACTTGAACAGATTGTAAAAATCTAGAAATACGATGTCCATTATTAAAACAGTTTTCGTTAAAAAAAATAGAAATAGGCAGGTACGAAGCTTTATACGAGTAAGCGAGGACTAGTGTGTGCAATGTCCTGGCAAAAGTCTCCGTGCTACAGGTGACACTGACATTATAATTCTAATATTCTCCAACGATTTCCCTGCAATCAAGTTTGTATGATATTACTGGCACATTATGAAACAATAAAGTCACATCGATTGTACAGTGCTGGTGCAGCCGGAAGATAAATATACCTACTTGTAATCCCCTTAACACTAAGAGGGTAGCTACTTGAGTTATCAATAATCGTGCATTATCAATTTGCATAAACATATGAAGAGAAATTGCAATTGTAAATATTCAAAATTCTTAAAACTCTTTCCGACATATTTATCATTTAAAATGACATGAACGAAACACCCGATATGACCTGTGCAATATCGTATGATAAGATTGTAAAAAAGAAAACTTTACTGACATCGACAGTAACACAGATATGTTAACAACTTCAAATATTTTGTTATCGTAAATTCTATTTTAACCTACACATATAAAATACGTTACAGGATTATTTATACTTTAGCATGAATTCAAGATATTATTCTGGTAGCAGCTGAAGTTTGAAATATCAGACACAATTATATATAATATAATATATATTTTCTTGATCAATCTAAATTTGAAGCGTTTACTCTTTATAAATATTTTCTTGTTTTCATTTCAAGGACGACGATTTCCCAGACAGACAGATATCGTTGTAAATACAGTGTAATTATAAAGATTCTCATGAATATACAGAAGATAAAAGGAAATAAAAGAAAATCTGGATAATATTTCACTAACTGTAAGTAAACCTAATATAATATCTTTAAAGCTGATAAAATGTTATTTTTACGTAAAAGTCATTGTATGCACATTTTAAATAGTATATTTATTCTCATTAACAATCACTATCCAAGGCTATACTGGTATTTCCCATCAAACGTAACCTGGATTTTAACTCGCTGTTTGTTGCACTGCCACTATTTCCCTAACCCTAACCTAATCCTAACCCTAACTAAAGATAGGTATATACTTTGAATATCAAATTAAAAGTTACTATTCCGATATATTTAATATAATATAGTACCACACCATAAACGAGCCTGATGAACGTACAAACGAAGGAATGTTATGATGAAGGTGACGATGGGCTGTTCGAGAACTAAATTTTTGCGTATTTTTTTTCCATTCTCTATTAATAATAACGTACAATTAATATAAGGTCTAAACCGACACTAACTGAAATAACTGTTTAAAGACTGACTATGCGTGGCATCTCATTTACTTCCGGTTTAGAATTATTACTCTGTGACCTTTAACACCAAACACTAAATCGGATTATACCTTATCACCTCAGTTCTCCACAGATCTTTAAGAGCCAGTACAGTTCCCACCATGTAATGTAAGACCTTAGCGTTGAAAATCATCTTTTCGCTTAAAGTTATCAACTTCACAGTGGGATTAAGTATTTGTCAATGTCCTTGGCGGCTTCTGAAGAGGTTTTATCAGTGAGCTAAGCGGCTCTTGAATTAAGAGCGTCGCACGACATTGATCGGAAATTTTAGTGTAAGATTTTATTCAAATCAAGAAAATCCAAAGCTGTTTAAAAAAAAAATTGCACAAAGTTTCAGAATAGGAAATGAAAAAAATGGCAACAAATCTAAGGAAAACTGGCTATAGAAACGAACAAGAAGCTTGCGTGACAACCCTTTTCCAAACAATTGTATATTTAATACTTTAATACTTTGTGAATAGAAATTTGTACTATTTGGTTGAACATTAAATGTTTGCAATATCCTGACGACATCTTGAAGTGCTTGAGAACGTGCGAAGGTACTGCAAAGGCAACGCAAAATACACTTAGTATGATAATATTGTTAAGTATATCAGACTGTATATTATTAAACCACTTTATTTTTTGTCCAGTTTTTCCTAGACAAAAAGAAAGTCCGCATGAACTCGGTATACTATTGCTGTTTCCTTTTCCTTTTATTATTTAACATTGAATGATATGTTAATACGTGGAGCCATGTAATGACAATATGTTAGAATAGTTAATCTGGAACTTCTTACAGTCAGTTCTTGTAGCTAAGCCAGATTGCATCGGGAGCCTCTTGTGATCCTGACATAGCAAGATTCCCTTGTTAAAGATTTTCTTAGAATAACTACAGCGCATGTTATTAAAAAGGCGAGATTGACAATGATTTATGCAAGTTATTAATCCTGAAATTGGAAGTCATATAAGTTTATTATCTCGAAATTGACGGTCATGCAAATTGTTTATTCCGAAATTGACAGTCATGCCTAAATTGATATATGCTAATAAAAATAAATTAATGAAAAATAATTAGATGCAAAAACAAATGTTTGATAAGATAAAGTTGCAAGGTAAGCAAGTCAAGGGAAACTAGACAAAAATGTATGAAGAGGTTGGACCTCCAAACAGTAGTGTTTACATCTAAATCAAGCTATTATTTTTATAGCGACTTGCCGTGAATTTATGACTAGATAACTCAATTTTATGAATTGATATGAAGTAGTTCTTCAAGTGGTTTATAATACATACAGACTGGTCACTGTAGTAAATTATCGTGTTTTACTGCTTTATTAGATGTTCAAGAAGACGAAAACGGCGCCAGTCCACATCTTGAAGCTTTAAAGATTTTGTCTGGACGCCGATTCAAATATCCCTTTGGTTAAGATGTCATTTCTAGATGTTTTATTAACTTTTATTAAATCATGGCGTATGGACTGGTGTATGGATTTTAAGTTATTATCATCGGATTTTATGTATGTCTGTGCAGTTTGATTCTATTTTTGAAGCTTCAATAAAGGAACAAAGTGCCGGAGTCAGTGTAAGTTTCGAATAAAAGCAAACTATTCGTATTTGCATATAAATAGTTATAATACTTGACAATTTCAGGTACTTTTACCTACAATATTCTCCCATCATATAGTAAGATATTTTGGCATCACACTAATGTTTAATAATGTATTTCATCACTAGTTTAACAAAAGTATAATACAAATAAAAAATAAAACGAAGAACGTTCGCACTTTCTAAAAGTAGTCATTTTATCAATTAATAATTTAGAAACAAATTGGTAGATTTCGTCAATTTCCGTAAGTACTATAAAGCGATTTAAAGCTCCTGTTCGTATCGACGGAAAGTGGCGAACTATGTCGATATTTGACAAACTTGTTCATGGATTGGAATTAATGTTTTGTTTCTGATTTTTTCTTATATGTTTCCGCATTTTTATATTAATAAGGATATGGAATAATAAAAAGCACATTTTGACTCAGAAAAGTATAGACTTTTTTCCCTAAAAATGGGAAACCATGCGTTAACTTATAAATTTAGAGCATGTTTGAAGCTTATCACCTACAGAAAGTAGTAACTGTGAACTAATAAGCCATTAAAGTAGTTAAAATGTAAACAAAACCCAAACAACATCACTATAACAATACACGTTAGTGACGTAACCAACATGTAGAAGAAGTTGTCGAAGCTGTAACAAGATACCAAAAGTAAAAAAGGTTTGCGTTCAAAAATCATTTTTGAGGCTAACATCTTCCGGGGCCTATACTTATATTCAGTGATACTTCACTTTTTGTTACTGTTTTGCTGTAATGCAGTGACTATAATTGAAAGTTAGACTTTCAGTATTAGAACCAACATTTTATACTGTGTTAATTATATGTGTGATACTATTTTAAAATAATCGAGTTAATTTTAGAATGTGATTTAATTTGATTATGTGTACACTTCATTATCTCAATATAAGGGCGGTCGTGACTTTTGTGTTATAAATGTAAATAAGATAGAGAAGATTATGATGATAAAGTTGTGACTACATTAAGTATTTTTGGATTACAATTTACCATTTTAATCTAAACCGGTGTCATCGTAAAATATACAAAGGCGTTAAAATACACTTTGTTATCCTTTTTCAACTTACAAATTGCTATAAAATGTGTCATAAAAGACTTATATCATCAATTTTGTGTACATTATTATTTCGTTTGTCATAAATAAAGCAGCTTATGTGTTATTCAAGAAATGTGCAATAAGTGGTCATATTGTACGGAGTTATACCACGGATTTAGAACACATTATCCGGTCACTGAGTTAATAAGCCGATTTGTTCGTGATTATTTATACCTTATACAAACCCAAATTATTGCAGTTATATACATATATATTAAGTATTATTGCTGTTCTGTCTTATCTCCCAGCTGTAAATAAGGGGGCAGGGACATATTCGAACTATGGCCCGTCAAATTTATTAATAACACAGACATGGTGTTTTGAAGGAACTGAAAACTTTTGATATTTCTCTGTCATTTCTGGTGTAATGTATTTGAGGGGAGGGGTGAATATAAATTGCTTTCAGTCTCTATTTTTGAAGCAATGTAGGCAAACTGTAATTTCCTTCAATGTATGTCATGTATCCTTGAATAATGCTGTACAACTAGTTATCTGTCTGTAAAATATTTTGGAATATTTGTAATTGTGTTTTGTGATGTGTTTGTTAGGCCACTCTGAACTTTAAAATGACTAGGTTTCCTGCACCCTTAACTTCTGTTATATCGCTAGTCATTACGCCGCCATCAAGTAATGTTGTTGTTTGTTAATTTATGGTCAGACACTCATATTGATTTTCCCATAGACTTACATTATAAGAAATGGTCCCTAATCCTACCTTAAAATTGAGTTTTCATGCTAAAGAGGTGATTTTTCTAGCAGAATGAAATGCCTGACACATAAAAATGTTCCTTTAATATAGGGGTAGCCAACCACTTTACTTTTTAAATTAGTTTTCATACTCGAAAATACCCCATTTTCATCCAATCACCTCATGTTCAATTGAATCATACGGTTTTCCCTGCACTTTTTTCACCCAGTCGCTGGCCATGATACAATGCGAAAGTATGACCTTATACTGTAATGTATAGGTAACTTAATAAAAGTTATGTAATGTTCTGTTATATTCACAAAGTATTAAGCAGGTCAGCTTTGAATTTTATCGCAAACAATGCTTTCCTTCTAAAAGGTACCTTTTTGTAACAGAAATAAATGTTTACAAGCAAGTGTTTATTCTGAAAAATAAAATATAATAAAAAAAAAGAAAAATTAATGAAAAGCAATAAAAAGAGGAAGTGATAAAAAGGACAACAAAACAATGAAAATGGACCATCAATAAAACTTAATCCCAGCTTATTGTTTTACTTAAAGGGCCCTTTTTTATAAAAGAAATACGGATCAATCTACGAACGGCATAGCCTTTCGCTCATTCAAACATGTTGCTAAAACAGCTAAAAGTAACATAAAACAAATTTACACCCGCATTTGATCTGGAGATATCTTTCTCTTAAAGTAACACTAGTCTAGCGCGTGCATGCATGTAATAATCATGCGATTTTCTTTCATTGGCACGTGCGAGGAACCGGTACTCATTTACCCCCTCCTTTATCTTAATTTAGTATTTGGTAAAAACAAAACCCTGATATTTCCACACACATTTTCTAAAAGGAAAAGAAAACCATCAATATGAAAATAGTTATATGATTCATTTTTTTTTCTTTTTATTTTTAGAACTAAACTTAAACTTACAAGTTGACTTTATCGTTATGAATGTTTTTGTCAGTAACTATGGAGCGTTTTCTACCAGACTTACAGGAATCTTTTATTGACCCGCGCCTTTTTTGAATTTACATGTATGCATCCGCCAGGAAACAGTTGTATAAGAAACTTTCACACAAACACAACAATCATTTGCTAGATTAGAAAATATTCTT